TGTTTTTAAAATAATTACAGTAAGAGTAGTTTGACTTTAGAATAAAACTTTAAGATCATGTGGAAATTGTCCTGAAATTGTACCTTATTTTAAAAGAATTTTCTCAAAGATTAAAATAGGTTGAATAATTGTTTAACAGCATTATAAAAATTTTCAAAAGAAAGTCTGAAAAGATTACCATGCTTAATGTTCAATTACATATGCAAAGTTAAGAAAGTTGGTTTCATATTTTTGAGGTAGGTAGAATGCTAGTCACTCAGTTCAAATTAGTCTGATAAGGTTACTTATATTCATCTATAATGACAAAATGGGAATGATTCATGTAAACTGAATTTGAGGACAAATCAAGGAAGTCAATATAGATATTGTATGAGCAAATAAGCCAAATTTAAAATTATTTATTACACGTATAAAAGAACCCTATTCTACAAGAAGTTGTTTAAACTCTTAAAGCTATGCCAACTTCACAGTGGACAGTCACCAAAAGTAATTAAATAAGAAATCAAATTGGTGTCTTTCTTCTCTAGGTTGGATATTCCTAGACAAAATGATGCACTTTGGGGTTCTCTGGTAACTAACTAGGATTAGCAGGCAAATATGAAGATTTGATTCCAGAATTAAAGCAAATAAGCAAAGAAAAAAAAGGATGGATATAAAAGATAACGCTTATTTGGAATATTGTTTAAGAATTGTCTTTTCAGCCTAGCAATGTTTATCTCTCAAATGATCTCCTTTCCTTGATATTTCTCAGGAAGATCTAGCCTAAGGAATGACCTCTGAAAGACCACTGGACTTGTTTTTCAAAACTTGAGGTTCAAAATCATTTTTCATAGTAATAAGATCAGTTCCATTTATTAATTTATGGGATTCTCAGAGCTATGCTACTATTCATTAGGTAGACCCTGATGTTTTAGGGCACCATTGCCATGATCCCAAGACTGAAACATATAACAAAGATAGAAGAAGAGTAAATATGTTTCATAAAAACCACATAAAAACTCAAACAATGAAAGAAGAAAACTAACTTCTGTATCTCCAAGGTATATTAATTTGTAAATAAATTTGTATTTTTGCTTGATCTAAAGTAGGTGAGAAATCTGTTTACCTATATATGATAGAGATATGCCAGATCTTCACCACTGTGTGGAGATCATTTGAATCATGTTTTTGGTTAAGATCAGTTGCCAACATGCACTGCATTCAAGGACTTCATGGTCAGATATACCAGAACATGCTCTAGCAGAATTCTTAACATTTCAAACCTGTGTAGGACACAGTATGATAATGAGTACAGAAAAACTTCAGTGTTCGAATTTCACTTGTTTTATTTTTTGAAATGTTCCTTCGTTTAAGAAACTTGCATTTCTTTGTTTTTTCAAGTCATTTTTCAAGTTTTGAATTAACAGAGAACATATTGGTAAAAAAAAAAAAATCAAAGGCTCATAATTCAACACTGATTCATCACTAGAAGAAGACCTGAAGTTACTTCCAACTTAAAGTAAATTTCTTAGAATATACAGTAAACAAAAGAAGGAATTGCAGCATCTTACCACATACTTCAATCTGTAGAAATAAGAACACTCATGAGTCATGTAATTATTAACATCAATTTTTAAATAAAATAGATCACGCCTTTCTCACTTTCTTGGAAAAAATCTAGAATAAATTTTGATACTCATCATTTTCACTGTAAAATATTCACATTTCCATTTATTGTCTAAAATTGGAAAAGCAATAATTTTATTTTTCAAATCCTATATCGTTATGAGAAACTAAAAGCCTAACATTTATGGTCATCAATATTCTTAGAAAAAGAAGATCTTGGAGAGAGAAAGTTAAAATTGTTTTAAAAATGACTGATATGAACTGAATTTGAGGACAAATCAAGGAAGTCGATACAGATATTATTTGAGCAAATAAACCAAAATTAAATTATCGGAAACTGTGTAGTTCTAAATGCTAACACGTAAAAGAACCCTATTCTACAAGAAGCTGTTTAAACTCTAAAAACTATGCCAACTTCCCAGTGAACACGCACCACATGTAATTAAACTTAAAATTGATCTTGCTAAGAAGTGTTTAGAGAGCCATCTTCAGTGCAAGAGGACAGTGAATAAAGTGAAACGACCCTCTGCTAGCGCTGCCTCCTTCCGAGAAGGTAGGTCGTCCCTTCCTCTCAAGTCTGGACATTTTCCTGAAACAATCACAGAAGACAAAGTGTTCTGCCTCCTCTCTTTCTGGGAATTCTGATCAGGTTGTAAAGGAGAGAAAAGAACACACACCGTACCTGGAAAGTGAAAGGTACTTAAGGTTGCAAAAGACTGTTTTCTAGAGATGAGATGCGATGGAGAGAAGAAAACGCATTGGAATATTGTGCTTAAAGTACAGGAAGCCTAAAGTAAACAGGTATTTTTGTGGGGCGGGAATGGCTTCCGGCCTGAAAGAACCTGGAAGGCCCGCTTGATTCTTCCCCACACTGAGCAAACGCGGATATCACCTTTCTCACGCCGGCCACCCTTACCCACTCCAGGAGGATAAATGAACTTTGTCCTGTTCCCTACTCTTCTTACACTTGGCTAAGTGTGCCCCCTCCTCGCCTCCATCCAGGTACTAGCAAATGAAAAGGAAAACACAAAGGAAACAAATAGGAAGCCCCAAAACGAAGTTATTCCGCCCAGCGGGCGCGAGGTCTTCGGCCTTGCAAATCAGTTGGTCCCAGAGGGAAGTGCAAATCCGTCGCTCGGACTTTCAGCGATTCCCATCAGCTGAGCGGGAAAGGGGGGCCAAGTGGGACAGTCCTAGAAAAAGGAGTCTCCCCCGCCTCTTGGAGTACTTGGAAGTGCTCGCTCGGATCCGCCGGGTGTCCGGGCTGCTGCCACTCCACCGCCCTCCAGTGAGGTCCTCAAAGTTGCCAAGTTTAAAGTGAGAGAAGAACGGAAGCGCTTTGTCTCCCCGAGCCTCGGGAACTCTGCGGCCGCGGTTCGCGGCGGGGTCTGCCTCGGACTTCTTGGAAACCTCCGTTATCCATCCGGGGACCAGAAAGCCACAGGGAAGCACGGCTGGTTTGAGCGGAGACTCTCCGGACTCTGGCGGCGATCGCTGCTGTGTCTGTCCGCGCTGTCCCTTTGGCTGGTTTGTGTGGGATCTTCCCGCGCGCTCCCCAGCTGCGCCCACTTTGACGCTCCGGCTCCCCAACTCGGATCCCTCGCTGCACCCGCACCTCCCGAGATCCTCGGGCCACGGAGCCCTGTGTCGGTGGCCAACCTGGATGGAGACGGAGAGGGAGAGGCGGGCCCGGCAGCCCCAGCGAGGCTCGGGCAAAACAAAGCAGCCGGAAGAGTTGGGTGGATTCCTAAACCCGGCGTTGCACTGGGAACCCGGGGTGGGGGGAGGAGAGGCAGGGAGTTTCCACCTGAAGCACTCCATTCTTGGGCTCCTCTCCGAAAGAGGCCGCTGTGTGGCTCCTGATTGCCCACACTTCGTGGGTGCCCGTGCGCCCGCTGGGGTGGGCAGGTGGGTGCTCTCGAGTGTGCACGCGCTTGTGCACCCGCAGGACAACACTTAAGCCTGGCAGAGCTCTACTGGTAGCAAAATTCAAGAGCGCCCAATCCTGCGAGGTCACCAGCATGTTAGCCACAAGGCCAGTAGCACTTCTTGGCCAGCTTCCCCTCGCAAGCCCAACTCTTCCTTTCCCTTTGGGTTCAGACTGAAGTCTGGGGCAGCCAGGAGTGGAGAGGAGAGGTGCAGGCAGGGGCCGACGATCACGTGCTGGGGAAGCCCTAGAGGAACAGGCACAGTTCCAAGGGCTCCAGTTGAAAGGACCAGCGTGGTTCACTCAGAGGTCCTAGAAGGAAGATTCTACTTACTGACTTCTCTGGGCCACAGGGAGCATGGCTGAGGTGGAGAGAGAAAAGCCCAAAGTAGTGGCTGGAGTCTCAGCCATGCCAGGCCAGGGCCAGGCCTGTACTTCCTGGAGAGGCCCTGTTCAGCTTCAGGTCCCACCACAGGGCTTTCCTGATCCTCAGTCTTCCCGTGTGTCCGAGCCTTAGTGGCCAGGCCTGACTGAGGAGGAGGAGGAGGAGGAGGAGGAGGAGGAGGAGGAGGAGGAGCAGCAGCAGCAGCAGCAGCAGAAGAAGAAGGAGAGGCTTGCTTTGGGCTTGACATACTAAAATGTGTTCATTTGCAGCACTCCTTAATTTCCGAGGCTGAGCTGATTGTTAAATATGAATGCTCCTTTCAGAATCCATTTCATCTGATTAGTAAGCAAACCACCCACCTACAACCACCACAACCGCCCGGGACACTGGAAGCCCGCTTCAGGTGACAGGAACCACAAGTCACCTGCTGGGCATGTCAGATTTCCCCGACGGGTTTATAGTTAAAGACTTATCTCACTGCCACTAGCGGCCGTGGCCTGACCCAGGGCCACTTCCTTCTCCCCCCACCCTGGGCGGTGAGCGATGAGCAGATTCCCGTTCTCAGGAGTCTGGGGGCGCCCCCTGGAAGTTCGCTTTGCTTTTATCCCTCGGTTTTCCTCCGTTTCCCCTCCCCCTGCCTGCAACGCCCCCGCGCCGCCTCCGCCTGGGGATTTGCCGGCGCTCCCCGGGCCCCCTCGGCGCGGTGGGAAGCCTCCCTGGAGCACGTTCCGCCGGGAGGCGCGAAGGCTAAGAGCGCCTGGCGCCCGTCTGGGTGTCGCCAGACTCTCAGGTCTGGGAGGTGCGGCCGCTCCCGCCACTGCAGCGAGGGCCGGGCTCACGGCCGCGCGCCTGCCGCCGCCGCCTCCATGCTGCGGCGCGGAGCGCAGGTCTCCCCGGCCGGGCGGCCGCCGTTACCCACGCGCGCCGCGGTGGGGAGCCGGTCTCCCGGGCCTGCCCTGGCCGCGGCTGCTGGCCGGGAACCCCGCTGCCTGCCCTGCGCCTGAGCTGCGGACTCGCCCGGGCGCCGCGGCCGGCGGGCGGGGTGTCGGGGGCGCTGCGTGCAGCGGCGCGCAGGGAGGCGGCGAGCGTGTGCAGAGCTCCCGGAACCGAGGGCCGTGTGTGCGTGCACGCATGTGTGCGTGTGTTTGCGCGTGTTTTTCCTTCTTCCCTGGAGGTTGTGGATGGCTGCGCAGCTGGCTGCTCCCCTAGGATTTTTGACTTTGGGGAGATCTGTGCTGTGAGCTCAATCCAGCCAGATAATTCATTTTGCACGGTCGGTTGTAGCAGGAAAAAAAAAAAAAAGCGCAACTGGCCGGGGGTGGGGCAGACCAAGGAAACCTTCTGGAAATACACAGACCCAGAAGACAGCAAGAAATGAAAGACCTGAGAAGACTTTCATAACCTCCCCGCTGGCCCTTACGTTTTCTGGCAAGATCTTGGATGTTTGCTATCTTTTCAAGTCATTTTGACATCTCTAGCGTGGTGTGAGCCGCTTCCCCGCTAGCTGCGTGTGTGTTTGTGCGCGCGTGTGTGCGCGCGCGCCTATCTGATGCATTTGATTGTCTTTTATCCAACTGCCCAGAAGCAAATGTGTTAACTCGGTGGCGATACCCCTCCGTGCCCGGCTGCTCCCACAGCGGAAAGGACGCCCAGACCCATTTTCCTGGCTGGATTTGGAGCGGCTGCTGGGCTGGGGACCCAGGCGCATGGATCGCTTTGCCCCGAGGCTTGGGAGGCGGCAGTATTCTCCGGCTTCCAGGTACATCACAAGGTCAAGAGAGGGTCTCGCAGCCGTCTGGTAGCCCTGCATATGGACTTTCCTGGCTTGGTCAGAAGGATATGTACGGTTCGGTCCACAGCGTTTGAAGCCAAAAGTTCAGCCTTTCGAGCTGGTTTATTGTACAAACAAGGTAATGAAGATCGCTTTTAAAACTGCTTAACAGAATCCCCGACTCTTTCACAGCCTTTTCGCGGCTGCCTCCTCCCCACGAAAATGTCTCTTGAATGGCAAGGATTTGGGTTGCAGGAGAACTTGAAGGAAACATGATCAAGAGGCTATGCGAAAACAAGAACGCTCTCTTGGCTGCCCGCGGTCTGGTGGGGTTCGAAGCCGATCTCCGGAAGGACCAGTTCCCCCCTCGCCTCTCCCTCCCCGGGCCGTGTTGGGTGTGCGTGTGCAAGTGTGAGTGCGCGCGCGCCCGGATCCGAGTGTGAGTGTGCGTGTGTCTGTGTGTGCGTGCGCGGGCGCCCTGCCTCAGCCCGCTCCCCGGGCGCAGAGCCCCGTGTTTCCTGGGGCGATCAGTGCGGATCCCCCACCCGGTGCGACCTGAGGGCCAGGCGGCAGTGGCTGGGGCCACCTCTCCGACCGCCTAGCATGCGGGTGCTGAGCGATGGCAAAGGGCAGCGAAGTGCCGAGCGAGACCCGCGAACGGCAGTGAAAGCCACCTGGAGCCACCTTGCCGGGAATGTACCTGCGGGCCGAAAGTCCTCCTACGACCGTCTTTCCCCCTAGAGGCACCAGGTAACCAGCGAGCGACTACTTGCCTCACCCAGTTTCCTCCTGGTCTTGTTTCTAGTGTCTTATCTGCATTGCAGGCTACTTTACTTATTAATGTTTTGAAAATCATTAGGAAGGTCTGGGTATCCAAGGGCGCCTGCTCTGAGATGTGGTAATACCATTTCTAGAGATGGAACATGAATCTCTACCTGAGCACTTAATCTAGCGGGGAAAGCTAAAAGGCTATGGGCATGCTCCACCCTAAGGATATTTTTTGAGAGCTAGGCGCGGTTGCACCTGTTTGAAGATACCAGAGATGAAAATTTCGTGTTTCTTTCAGGCTGTGGTTGCCGCGGACCATTTGTTATCCAGCCCTCCCTAGACTGTGGAGTAGGAGAGGATGTTTGGTTTCCACACCTCATTTCAGCCAAAGATCATTTTTTGACCGTTCTCTACCTCTAGTCGTTCCCCCACCCCACGTTGTTCGCGAGCTCGCCAGATCCCGTTAGTAGTTGTAAATTACGCATCCTGGGACTTAGATCCGAAATGGAGTTTTCTTGGAACTTGGTGTGCATGGAAAGGAATTCATTGTCATGGGTGTGTGCTGAGATAATGGTGTTTAACTGCCGGGGTGGCTTTTACATACCAGAATACATCCATGAAAAGTCATTTTTGTGTCTAGGAGCATGAGGCTAAAACCCCAACCGCTACTGGCACCACCTCAGCTGTATTTTCTCAGTTGTGAAGAGGAGTTGTGTGTCTGCATGTGTCTGTTTCTGGCTAATAGATATTTTGAAAATTCTTTCCAGTGTCTTGATTCACAAACAGCAGGTTGGATTTGCTACTGCTTAATTAACATACTGGGTCTGAGCTGTTAAAATGGAGATTCCTGTGGCTGGCTGAGGCGTCACAAATTTAGTTAACTTCCAAAGCCCCTTCCCCTCGCGCCTTATTTCTTTCATTTCTTTCTCCCATCACTTCTCCCTCCTTCGTCCCCTTCAGAAAATTTCGCTCCCTTCTCCAGGCCATTAGAATGAACAAGATAAAGCACTTCTAAAGTAGTCCTCTCAATGTTTTACTTGATAGTGAAGACGATCTGAATTATTCAGCCGGGGAGTGCTTCGTCTGTCTCCCGCCTTCGGGGGCTGCCTGCTGGAAGCGCGCAGCGCAGCTTTGGCTCGGCGAATCTGGCGGCGCCCGGCTGCGGGCGGCAGTGGCTGGGGCTGCCTTGGGAGTTTCCGTTTGCGAACGCCGCTTGCAAAGTGGAGGGACGCTGCCTGGATTTCTCCACTAGCTGCGTTTCTATAGATATCCATATGATGGCATTTGGAGACCACGAGCTGGCCCGTAGCTGCTCTAGCTGTCCCTGCGCGCTGACGTCCCCAACTCCTCCTCTGGAGTCTGCTGCAGCCCCTGCAGGCTGGTGGTGCTGCGAGGCCGCTTTTGCCACGGGCTTGGGGGCTGGGCTCCGCCACTGCAGCTGCCAGGTCGGCTTTGAACACTTTCTTGGGGCGGGACTCGAGAGCTCCGCGGGCTCCCCGGCAGGCAGCAGCGCGTCGGGGCCGAGGTGGTCGCCCAGACAGGGGAGCAGGGTGTGGGGAGAAGCGCGTGGAGGAGGGCGGCGGTGTCCAAATGCCTACGCCTGCAAAATCTCTTTCTCCCCCACACCCCTAATGTGAATATTGAAGTACACGGAAGGAAAGCTGGCTCCAAATATTACTTGTCATTCAAAAACTACATGCTCTATCAGGATTAAAAAACCGAAGTCACGAGCGTATTTTCTAGATTTCCATTTGTTCTTTCTCCTCTCCCCTGGTGCTCCTCTGGATTTGATAGTTTTACACTGTTGTTCTGCCTTCGGTTGGAAGACTACTGTTAAAATCAACTAATGCATCCTCACCAGCTCCTACTGGGTAGACCTGAATGAGATGGGGCTTCTCCTGAGAAGGGCTTGGTTTGTCTCTGGGAACTCTGACGATGGGTACAAAGGAAACTTGGCTTTGATAGAAAAGCCCGTCCACGCTCCAAGGACTCAGAGGAAAAAAAAAAAAAAAGTACTGCCTGTTTAAAACAAGTGTAGGTAACCAAAATAAACTAGTAGAAACTGGGTACTTGGGAGGGAGTCATGATTTTTTTCTTCTGTTTCTTTTCCTTTTACTCTTTTAGTGACTTTAATTGTAATTCTCCCATCAGAAAATCCAAGATAGGCATTTTGTGTGCTAAACACCTGACAAGGACATGTCTTTGTCCCTTAAATTGGCCAAGAGTTTTACTGCAGCAAAATTAATAGCATAATATTTGTTAACAAATAAATCCCACCTATCCAGAGCATCAAACAAACAAACAAAACTGAAGGCTGGTGGAGAATATTGGTACTTGGAAAATAGATGTTTGCCCCATATCTCTCCTCCTTTTGCTTCTTGTTGCCGTTTACCACCATGGATTCAATCATTTGCCAGTTAATCTTCAGGGGAGGCAAAATAAATACATCAAGGTTACTATTGAGTGCTCAGAGGCCTAAACAGATTATACTATGGTCAATGCTGAGAATGCCATTCACTGGTCTGGACTGGAATGAGATTAAATGGCTAAACCAAATGCAGCTCTTACCACAAACTTTCATGTACAGAGGCTCACCAATCAATAATTGAATAAATAAATCCAAGTTTCTGCCACCCTTCCCTTCTCCCTTGTCTGGAGAGAAGAAGAATAGAGATACATTTGGAGATTTGAATCCACTTCCCTTGTTAGGCATAATCCACACACAGAGCTGGCATGGGTCACTGATGGTCACCTAAAGCTCTTAGGTATCGATGGGACATCTTCCATCCAAACCTCCTCACTTGCAGGCCCCTTTTCCCTCACTAGTAATAGGAAAAGAACAATAGGAGAGTCAGGACACCCATAAGAACAGATATGAGCATGTAGGTAAAAAGTTGTCACTTGATTCTCATTCCCTAGACAATTTCTTTCTGTTATTTTTCCCTTTTTAGGAGGACAATGACCTTGAACAATACCAGTATTGTGTTTTTTGCACACCACTTTCCTTCCTTTAAATATATAACACAACATGAACATACACACACCCATTTCCATTTTGAAATAGATTTCTGTGCTAGTCTTGGGGAGAAGTTCATGGAGGTATATGTTTGATATTAGGCAGAGGTATTTTTTTTTCAAGAGGGATAGCAAAAACTGCAGTCATCTGAGGGAAAATTGGCATACCTTTATTCTCTCTTCCACTATTTTTGTTTCCTCTGTCATTAAATGGATTTCTGGTAGGAAACAGTGGCCTGGCTATGACACTGGTGGCTAAAAGACCATCATACGTTATATGCACCTTTCATCTTTCCATGAACAGTAATCATTTCCTTTTGTCCATGTAAACCAAGGCTCTGCTTCCTCTTGCTGCTTGAAGCACTTCTGCTTTGATAGTTTTGCTGAGTTTTCTCATTGGTGAAATTAGGATCTGCTTTCTGCTGATACTATTGCTGTGTTGTGCAGTTGGGATGAGACACATTATCTAACAATGTTCCTGCTTCTATATGAAACTACTACATAATAGCTGCTCAGTTATTTAAAAGTGAATTTATAATAAATAAGGCTGCTAGTAATTATTTGGGGCAAAATTGAGGTCAGAGGAAGGAAGCTACTTGAAATTTTCTAAAGAGTTCAATAGGTAAACTATGACTTTATTCTTTCAATTTTTGTTTTCTATTTCCTGAGAAAGGAAACATATTGTCATTATATATGGGTTCTGATGGGTTTTTGTATGGTATAATAAGTTATAAACTTTATGTTTCATTGAAGAGTGAAGATAAAATTTAGGCCACACAGATGTGAGTGTGATTGCCTAGGACTCATGACCAACTCGTAATTTCGCTAAATCATTCCAGCGACACACATGCTCACAGCTCTGCCTTGTTCAATAAACTCAGAATGAGTCTACTTACTCTATTTCTAAGGCTCACATTTTTATTCTTGTGGCATCTTTCAATCATTGAGGACTATTTAGAATCTATGGCAGTATAATTTGTTCATTATATGGTGTGTGCATGATGAAATTTAGAAGCATTATGTGTGTAATTGTTGAAGCTATTCTGGTTAGAGGTGAGCCATTTTTATTATGCTCTATCCCCATAAATTGTATGATATTATGAAACTCTCAGTACAGTATAAGTACAAGAGATAGAAGAATTTAATTCAAAGGTTTCTAATGCTACTTTTAATCTTTTTGTCATAGTGTTCTGATAGATACTGTTCTGACAGACTGCTTTGTACTGAACTGTATCATAATTTAACAGTAATTATGAGGGTAGGTAACAACTGATAGACAATTGCAATAGAAATACATGGTTATACAAATGCACTATCATTTTACTGATATCAAGTAAAGCACATGAAAATGTTTTATTATTTAAATACATCCTTTTTTATTTTTACTAAACAATACAAAGTACATTTTTAGTATTTCTGAGAAATTGCTTTAATAGCTGGTATTTGTTAAGTTACACGGTTACATTAGGAGGAAAATGTCAGTTGACCAATTTGGGTCTTCCTAGAAATTACATGTTTTTATAAAAGAAATTTATCACAATTTATAGTGCACATTATTCTTTTTTCATTTTCTCTGTGAGCAAAATACGTATTATTTTTAAAATCAACTTCCAATAAAATATTTTAGAATTACTGTTAACAATCTTTGTGAAGAGTGATTGCGGGATTCCATAGAAAATTGAATCGATTTTAGATTTTACAATAAAAAAGGATCAAGAAAGGAAGATAAGTGACTAATGGATATTTCTAACAAGCCTAGAGAACAGTTTCTAAATTCTTGGAAAAAGATTGAAAGAAAACAAATTCATCCAGTATGTGCTCGATCAGAAGTTGTACAGCATTTGTCCAGAGGTAGAAGGTGAAACAATGGTACATATCTTAATCTATTTCACGTTGCCCCGAGCAGCTCTTTTGAGAAAGAGCTCTGAAGGCCACACCACTTTTTCTCTTAATTCCACTTCTCAAAA